CTAATAAATTTTTGAAATTGTAAAGAAACTTTATGGACACCATGTGTACATTCTCGTTTAACTCGGCACTACTGTATCAGTCCTAAGTAGGAAAAAGCGAGGGGAGAGGGAGAGGTTGTAATTAATCGAGTCTTATTTTTCTTACTCGTTCGTTCTTTTACGTCTCTTCTCATTCCAATTTAAACGAGTTACACAGTTCTTCACGATCTGCGAGAAAGCGAAACGGGACAGAGTTTTCTCTGTCTCTCTCTCTCTCTCTCTCTCTTTCGTCGATGCAACGAAGGAAGAGGTGGGGATAAAACGCGAACCGCGGGCGGGCGTCTTACGTTTTCGCTTTTGCGCCAAAGAATCGCGTCGATCTCACTTTCTCTCTCTCTCTCTCTCTCTCTGCGTTTGAACGCGCGTGATATCGATTGCTCGTTTGCTCGGCGGCTACTCGTAATCTGGTCCAGCGGTCGTGTTATAAAACGGTCGAGTGAAAAAGAGCACTCGAGGGTAAAGCACTGTTTTCGCGTTGACGTTGGAGGAGTCGTTCGCTCATGTATGCGTGTGTGTGTGTAGCCGGCTTATCGGTGATAGCTGGCCGCGTCGATTGCGCGGAAATATTCCCCTCGCCTCCTCCCCTCGTCGTCTCGTGCCAATAGATTATAGGTGGAAATCGGAAAAGAGATCGGCGCGGATGATGCGATATCGCCGATATCGGAGAAGCATCTCGAACAATCGCTTTTGCTTTAATTTGCCAAGAAATTTCTGCGAGATGGAACATCCTTCCATCCGGTGGATGTTTCCAACTTCTTTCACCTTTCTGCTCGTTCCTCCTCCGCGCGTGAAACGTGTTCCGTCCCTCTGCTTTCCGATTCTGAAAACTCTCCTCTTGTTTCGCTCTCGTCTCGTTTTCAACGAATCGCGCGGTGTGTCGAGTGTTTTCCTCCCCGGCGCGGCGGCTAACAATGCCACGCGGCTTCCACCAGTTCCACTGTCCCGTGTGCAAACGTGTGCGAGCGTGGCTCTCGAAACTATCGCGAGCATTTTGACAGAAAATTCACCGCTACCTTCTGTGGACCTTCTTGTCCAAACATGTACGCATTTGCCGAACAACGGCAGACCTAACATAGGTTTGAACAAACAGGGGTGGAAATAAATACGTGGTG